ATAAACACTGACTATAGCTCTATCAGTGTAAAAAGAGTGGGGAGGGCTGTTGACATGACCTTAATTTTGGCCCGTGAATACCTCTGAAATGTGTAAGAGGCTTTGCTTTGCAGAGGTTAAGTGTAATTCAGAAAGATACGTTGAAGCCTGGCTCCATAAAGGCTTAGCTGTCTACATTTGTCTAGAGTGATTGACCTCATCAGCAGTACTACTGAACCTAACAGCATCCAAAGACATCTGGAAAACAAGACCACAGGAGGTTATGAAACACAACTTCCACAGCTTTCATCCAATTGCTTGTTTTGTTAATGACATAAGAATCTTTGAAAAGAATCAGAGCCCAATATATCTGCACTAGCTCACTCTGAAACACTTCCAGTCATTGCTGGATTAACTACATACTACAGACATATCCAATGTTGTACTTAGAATCGCTTTTTTTGTCAGTCAGTGAAACAAAAACATGCTACAAATGCATGTACACAAAACCGGTGATGCTTAAAGAACTGGATTATGGATTAATTAATTGACTGTATTAGAATCAGCTTGGTTTTGTTTTATTTTTCAATCCCTAACAATCATTAGGGTCTGATAATGAGACTTATACAGTGGGTTTTTTTAAAGCCAAAATAGTCTATACACCCCTGGCACAGGAATCCTTTTAGACTGCTTCACAAAGCACCGACAAATATGTTCAAGTGAGTCTGTCCCTTGTTTAACTGGCTCTTGTAGTTCTTCTAAACTCAAGCATTACCAAAACACAGAACATATTTAGGCAGTTGTCACGAGTGGTCAACAGGTACATTGACTTTGACTGTGAGAAAGAAAATCGCTTTTTTATGTTTAAGTACTGCTGAAACTTAAGGGAATGGCTTATAACCAAACCGTGGTTACGTGACCGTCCCTGGAAGATGCAGCGTTCAAGTTAGGCACTTCTGTGTGACATTTATCTGGTTCCACCAGGACACTTTAAATGTCCTATTAAAATCTCACAGTATTTTAGAGTCTGAAAAAAAGTAATATGACCTTTTCATCTATGTGACTTTTGTGGAACCTTGTAAATGAAAAACACACCAGGAGTCTTACTCTGTAGCCATAATTCCACACAAATCCTTAAGGTAAAATTAGCTACTTAATTACATGAAAATGATTGTAATGGAAACACTTATGAATGGGAACAAATTTGATTGTGTAAATAAAGCACAGGCAACATGCAGAACCAGATATACACTGCGAGTAATGCAAACCAAATGTGTTTAGGTACTACTCCCTGCGTGTATCAGCAGTGCATGTATAGCCACAGAAGCACTAAATGATAAATATTTTAGGCATTGTGTTTTGGGGAAGCTATTGACAAACAAGAATTTATGAATAAAAAATAGGACTTGAGAGAAATTCTGTTCCATCTCTAAATAATATCATACCTGTAATAAGAAATACTTGCCTTAATTGTTACTGAAGGTCTCAAGTGACAAAGAGTCTGTAAACTCCCTGGATTATTTGTTACATGTTTTATTGCTCCTTAAACAGGAAACTTTTCTTAATATCTAGTTTATATGCTGCAAATTAAGCCCATCATTTCATATCCTTCCACAATGGATGTGGAAGAAAGATGGTTGTGATAGTTTTCCCACGTTCTTCTACTGAACTTTTCTGTGCATATTCCCTTAATTTTCTCTTCTGATAGCTAGCCAGCTCTTGTTATCTTTTATCATAAATTATGTTTTCAAGTCATACTTTATGGCTGGTGATCTCTGGGCTTGCTCTGGTTGGTTTGCACCCCTCTCATCCACCCTTATGTATGAGTTGGTGTTTGCTAGGCAGATTAGTATCAATAATTAATAAGATCTAATATAAAAGTTTGAAACAATAAGAAAGAGTTTGTTCACATCTGAAAAGCTAAAATCTGAAACATCTACTTATTTACAGTCTATTTGAGTAGATGTGGGTGTTGAATATAGATCTTATCAGTGATCAGCATTTCTTATTAATTTGCTTCCTTCAACAGGAGGAGGAAAAAGTTAGAAGATGCATTCATGTGCAGAGAAATTTCAAATTTGCTTATAGCAAAGCAGTGATCCATCAGAACTGCTGCTGACTTTGAAAGATAAAGAAACACAGATTTTTCTCTGTGCCTGGTGCCCTCATGTGGCTTTGATGTTAAGCTTCTTGTGAATTAATTAAATACATCACTGCATGGCTGACACTTTTGCTGTGTAAAAGGTAGGGAATAATTTGCCTGTGTAGCCTCATATGTTCTTCTGTGAATACAGCATGTTCAGGAAAACCAAAATAAGCTGTTTGCCATATGGCCAGTTGGATTCAGATATGCAAACTCCTGGTGTTCCCTAACTTAAACAAGTACATTTCACACAGTCTTCACACATTGATGAACATGATTCAGACCTTACTCCTCCAAGGGTTGTCATGGCTAAAAAGATTTGTGCTGGAGTCACTGCCATCTTTAGTGATACTGCTAATAATGCCACCATAGATTTATTGGTGCTTTTAAAGAACTATGATTTTTTGGTTTTCAATTCTAATATTAGGTCAAATTTTTATACTGTATGCTGAGCCAAAATGTCACAGATTACTTCTGTGAGGAAATAGAGTTTAAAATGTTCTTTCTCAGCTAACTTCAAATTGTCACTTTTTTCTTCCAACTACAGCTGCAGTATGACAATTAAATTTCTATATTTAATGCTGTAAAATATACACAGGATAGATGTTCCTTTGCACAGCATTCTGAGTCTGTCATTAGAATATTTCCAGTTTGTCTTGGAGCACAAATTCTGAACAGAGCAAGAAAGATTTCAGGGCAGTTTTTTCTTTGATCCTTCTTGTCCTTGTCATACCAAACCTAGTGAAACTTGTATTAGTGATGGTATCAACATTTTTCTTGCTAATAGTCTCACTCAGAAGTTCCCTGAGTAACATGTTAGTTCTTCTGCTAAGGTTTGAAGTAGACAAAGAAATTTCGCATAATTACTACTAAAAAACAGTCATGTTACTATGCTTGAACTGTAATACTAGTGCATATACTAAGATCTTCATGTTTCATTTTTATTAAGGCAAAATAATTTGTGTAAAGAAATAATATAAAAAAGTCTACAACTGTATCATTCTTTTCAGCTGTATCATTCTAAACAAAATGGTACTTTTTGTACTGTATCTCCATCAACAAAATGCGCAGCTTGCAGTGCCTTGCGCTCCACGATTCATTGTTCAGCTGTATGCCCATGCTTGCTGAGCCCTAAATACCAAGCTTCCCAAGGGAGGGAGGCTGTTACGTCACCTTGTCCTCTCACTGTGTGCTATGTGGAGATAAAATTGAGGTTTACAGAAGTCTACCATAAAGTGTAGCAAAGGAACAGACTGGTTCTATGTGTCTGAGCTGCAAATTCTGATCACAACCCAACAGATTAGTAGTAATACTATTGCTATAAAACCCCAGTGCTTGGTAAATGAGAAGTGAAGCAGGAGAATAAAAATGCGTAATTCCTTAAACTAATATTCCTAGACTTTTTCTTTGCAGTTTTGACACCAGTTGTTGGTGAATTGCTGCAATAGTGTAACGTTTTCAGAAAGGGAAAAATATGGTTCATTGTCTGTTCTGAAAGAGTAGATATTTTTCCTAACTTTTTTTTTTTTTACATATTAGAATTAGGAAGTGGGGTAATATTTTGATCATTATTTTTGTTTTCTGTACCAATAATAAATTTATTAAAATAATTTGAGGCTAAAGGTGAAGCTCTGTCTGGACGACCTCAAGCCTTGTCATGTTTGTAAGACATATGAAAACACAGGAATTACATGGGACTTGGCATTTGGTTTCTCTCTGTTAGCTGTTTTGGCACCTTTTTGCACACACACATTTGTTTTTCTCATGAAGTATACTAGATTTCTTTGTGAGTATGACCTATATAAGCTTACCTGTGCATGGTTAAAGTAAAAGCATTTCCAAATATCCCATGTAGGTTAATCCATAAAACCCTATGTATGATTCACAATATAATAATGGTAAAAGTGTAGAATTCGACTATAATGTAGAAGTGGAATGTTTTTAATGTTTATCGGTTTAATCAAGCAAGTGAATACACTTGATCAAATTAAAATATCTGATTATTTATTCACATAGAAACCATTAAATTTTAGGGTTAGTAGCACATAACTTTTTGTTAAAAAAAGAAAACAAGCTATGCCATATAGCTTCTTTACTCTCAATAAAATAGCATCATTGCTGTTAAGCTTAAGATTACAATAAAAATGAAACATTTCAGGTTATATTGTTTGGAGCACAATGTGGTGAATATAAAGAGAAAATCCTTGTCAGAAATTTTACCACAAGGAAGTATCAATAGCTAACACCCATATTCTCCAACTAGAAATCAAGAATATTTGAGATCTTGACATAAAAGGCACAAAACACAAAGCAAAGCATGCTTGTGTCATTTGTCACAAAGAAGCATTGACATTTGTGCAACATGGAAAAAAATCAGCATTTTCCAGAGTCTTCCAATATCATGGATACTTAGGGAATTTATCTTCCCCTTAATGCCAGTGTATCACTTCCAGTACAGATGGAAGTGGCTACAAGAATAGAGGAATATATAGGAGAGAATACATCCATATCCTTCCAGGAGATGTTAGCTCGTGTATTGAGGAAGCTGCTGCTCTAGTATTATTAGTAAATAAATACACAGGCAGCGAGCACTTGTGGGAATTATATGAGACTAGTAGGAATGTTAACAACGCTGGAAAACCCTCACAAACACAGGTTTACACTTGCATTTAAATGTGTGATGCCAGCTCCCTCTTTGCTTCAAATAAGCTTTTTTTTAAAAAAAGTTTGAGCTTGAAATAAAGGACTCTTTTCAGAAGAGAACGCTGCCTGTGGCGCAGAAGAATGGCTTTTCTGATTGTAAGGTGCTTTGGAAACACAGCTCAAACATCTGTGGTATTTCCTTCTGTGATGGGCCGTCACACATGCAGCCTATTTGCTATATTTCTATAACAAGCCTGTCTTCATCATCGCTGCTAGTGTCATCATACTCCACCCTGGTTTGCTTCCTCATCATCTCTAAGCCTCTCTTTTTATATGTCTTGGAAGGTGTTGAGGAGTAAGAGTTGAACTCAGGGGACCTGGGAGCAATCGCGGGCTTTTTATAGGTAGTGGTAACTGTTTCGTGGGGCCTGCCGTAGCTGCTGGGCTGCGGGTGGGTCCCGTTCTTGTCTGCACTGCCGTGAAAGTCGAGGATTTTTTGGGAAAAGTTTGGCCGGTCTGTGTATTCTGTACCGGGTAATTTGGCCCTTGTGACTGACTCGGGAAGAGACTCTGCTTTTGATCCGAGTGAGCGTGAACATCCAGGCTGGGAACCGGCAGCTGAGTTTTCTTTTGGAGATGGATATGTGTTTTCTTCAGTTGGAGGATTCTCCCTTCCTGAGGCCTGGATCACCGGGTCTAATGTACCAAATCTTTGACTCTCTGACTCTACATTTAGTAGGTTTTTCTGGCTTGCATCTAGATGTAAGGAAAGAGGGCGAGTAGTCTCTGAGTTTGTGCTGTCGAGTTGGTCGTTTGTGCCTGTGTTTGTGAAACGAGAAGGGCAAGAGGAAAAAGAAGATGCCGTTGAGTCACTCTGAATGTTTGGCTGTGACTCCCGTGGAACTGATCGCTGAAGCACAAGCGGTTGTGTCACTGAACAGCAGATTTCCACATCACTGTTCACTTGCTGCATGGCTGTATTAACTGCGGATGAAAAGGAATGAGCTGTCATAGATATTTCCAGAGGAGCTGTAATGTTCTGGAGAGAGAAGCTCGTTCTTGTGTGTTCCCTGATTTGCCCAGAAATGTCCTGTAGAAATTAGGGGGAAAAAAGAAATTTGCATTTAAAATTTTCAATCCGGAGCAATTTCATCCTTCATGAAAGTGCAATGACAACTAAGTTGACTATATCAATGGAAAACATGTACCTCTGCTAGAACTCGTATCAACTGAGTAATTAAGCATAATGTCAACCTTTGTTTATACAACTGTGATTATATTTCCACTCTTTTTTTTTTCTCTTTTTTCATTACTGCGGGCCAAATTACTCATCCCTCTTTTGATGAGAAAACTTTTTTTTTCTCCCAGTGTGTGGTGGAGGTGTAGTAAAGGATGTATATTTCCTTACATGTTTGTTTCTTTGTTGGGTAGGTGATAGATCATGCTGATAATTTATGGATGAGAGGGGTTAGAGGTTTCAAGCTGCGTTCTTATCTACTGTCTAGGATGACGCTCTTTGCCTTAAGATATTTTAATATCCTTATTGCAATGATGTCTGTGCAATGTAAGGGGAAAGGTTTGTGATGAATCTGTAAGAAATGTTACACTGTCTGAGGTGGCAAGACGTGTAGCAAATAAAATTACTTAGTAAAAAACATTTTAAGGATTAGATTCCTAAATATGATACTGCTTGTGCTACATGAAGAACCAGTGCTCATGCTACGTAGCAGCAGTCTGGCTCAGTAGCTTTTGTCTTTCAGTGTGGCCAGCAGAAGTCTGGGGAAAAGTATTAGAATTAGGATAAGAAGAGGATACTGCCAGAAGCTGCGCTGACACTGCATGCAACAGCATTGTTTGCAGCACGTGCAAACGTGTCCGCGGCCCCTTCCAGCAAATACAGCTATCAGTAGCATTGAAGCCACAGCAGCAATGGCTTCCAGAAAGGGCTAAAGGAATTCAGCTGGAATGCTGGATACACATTCTTCCCACTGCTACGTAGCCATTACTACCCTCCCCACTTTTCTAGTTTCAAGCTTACTGCTTCTGTCTCAGTCTGTGCCATCTCAGTCTGTGCTACATCTGCTGGCACCTCTGACATCAGCGCTGATCAGTCCTCTGACAGCGAGAACGAGACACATCCTTTTCAATTGAGGCAAATTTAATTGTTCTTTTACAAAAGCTAATTCTAAAATGAGTAAGTTTTCATTATATTTCAACCCCAAAAATGCCTTTAACACAGTTTTAAACAAAATCTGTGATACAGAGTACTCTCAACTTGAACTTTAGAATAGCCGAATACAATTCAAGTTTTAATTATCAGTATCTTTTTTCTTTTAATAAACAGTCATATATGAATTAAGGTACAATACCTACTTTTTTATCCATTTTGTCTTTTTGTTTAACATGGTTTAGATTTTCAGTATGCAAAAATACTCCTGAGTTATTCTTTTCTTCTTTTTTTCTTCTGCAAAGTGGCTTGTCTGAGGTGGAACAAGATGTGTCTTTTTGCTGGTGTAGGTAATTTTCTATTGAAAAAAGGTTGAAGAAACTTTTACTTTGATTTTTATTCCTTCACATGCTAGAACTTATTAAATTTCTCCTCATATCACAATAGTAAAAACTAATGTGTTTTTACTGTTTTCTGTAATTTTTTATTTTAAGCCTGATACATTTTCTTATTTACTGTATATGTGTTTGGGTTTGGGATTTTTTTATTGGCGTTACTGTCCTGCAAAGTAATAGCTCTTCATATCTGCTCTGAATGCACATGAGGAATTGTCCCTGCTTCCAGCACAGTTGTGGCATAAACATCATTTGCATTACTACTGCTAATTAAAGGGGCAGGGAGTCACTGAAACACAGAAAGCAAGTCAACACACCAAACTCATTGCACGCTGCAAACATACAGTCTTGTTTCAGAAACTGATAAAAGATCCATCTGAAAGCTGTTTAGGCTTCTAGTGGAAGGTTATTTTGAGTTATTTCTTTTTAAAATGCCTTCCTAATTGCCAAATTCACATATGTAAATATGTGTATGAAAATCACTGAGCATTCAGTTTTGAAAATGCGTGAGGCGTTGATATTTTTACTCGCAGAACGTACTCAAGGACAAAAGTGTTTTTGCAGTTCCATGTGAAACAGGTGTGTATCAGAGACACTGCTAACGTTCCTTCTCTTTAAAAAGAAGCATTGCATACATTAAAAAATATTCAAAATACTTACCTTGTACCTTTGATTGAGGAGAATGGCACTTCTTATTAAATTTACAGGGTTGTGATGAATAACCTTTTTTCAAAGCATCCAGTGTTCTACTGGGAAAACAGTGCCGCTTGCTTAGTCGGTTAATTTTCAACTGAGCGTGTCGATGTATGTGCCTCCCTCTGTACCTGCATTGCCAATGGCATTGAAAGGGTAAAAAAATATGAGCTATTTAAAAGCAGCCAGAGTAGAATAATACCACATCATCAGGTGAATTTAAGTCTTAACAGTAATTTACTACTGTGAAGGAGACGTTTGGTTATGTCGACTCAAAAAAATAAATCAATATTTTAGTCAAAAGACCCACAATTATTTTATTAAACTTTTCCTCAGCAGGATTCAGTAAATCCTTGGTTTGTTAAGAGAAAAGGATTCAGGAATAACAGATTCTTTTCCCTATACCTGGAATTTTAAAACAATATGTTCCATAAAGACTTGAATTGCACAGGAATCACCTGAGACTGCATAGTTGTTGGCTTTTTTACTTTTTGTCTCACTTCTTATGTGCTACTCATTCATCATCACTAATGAACAACATAAGTATTTCAGTTATTTAGAAAACTCACACTGAATAATCCAACTTTGCTTTGTTTTCTACTCTAGCTGGATCTTTCAGTAACTCTTAATGATTGAGGCTAAAGTACATTGGAAGATCCCATTCCTATATTGATAGAATCAGTCACTATACACAGAGTAATAGGTAAATCTAAAAGGACGTGCTTATTCAGGTGTTTGGCGTATTAGAAAAATTTATTACATTTCATGATTAATAATTTGGCCAGTTAGCTAATAATATGTATGACCTGAACTTTTACAACCCTGTACTTAATTGAGTCCCTGTACTTACTTGATATAGCCAAATAAATAATTTCTGAGACCAGCAGGGGAAAAAACACAACAAAACAAAAGAAAAAAACACCCAAAAGCAAACCAGAAAAAAGTTCCAGAAGAATGTCACTAGACTGGATAACATTGACCTAAGTCTTCTATTTTTGTTCTTATGATCCTTCAAAATTGCAGTGCTGTTTGCCAAACTAGACACGGTGATTAAGTTACTGACACTCGATTGTCCACAGGGGAGTCACTTTGTCTGATTTTGGCCATGAAATAAAATAAGAGGGATGTATGCACACAATACGTGCTTCTTATTGAAGCAATTCATCAGACTACTCCACATTCTCGAAAGATGAGAGGCTAAATCTTCCACTGATATGAACTCACATTAAATTCAGAGAAACCGTGCTGACTGACACAATGTGCCTTTGATAGTTTTACACTCAAATTCTTCCTGCTTTTTATTTGAATCGAATGATCCTTTAAACTGTAGATGGTTTTGTTAGTTTGTGTTAGAACTTGATATTTATTCCTCTGCATTCTCTTGTGAATACGAGTTCAGGATATGGATCTTCTGAGGACAAAAGGGTCTCGCACACTCCTTTTCGCTGTAACAGGATTAAAAACTGGAGTATTTTTGTTCCCTTCAAACAAAAGTAAATGCTGACAATTTTGACAGATAAGAATTATTTCTAAAGCATAGTGAGAGTCCACTGACCAGTCATCATCTTTCTTTGGTATAGGTCTGTTTTGTTTGGAACAGTCTGTTCCTGATCCTAGACAACATACTGATATTTTTTATTGTTTACCTTCGTGGAACTGCTGCAGTGTGGGAATAGCTCTTTCTGAGACATTTATTTTTTCCCCCAATTTTGACAAGGTTAAATTTTGGGGCTGACACTTTCATTTCTGAGGACTTTTTACACCCATTTTAGCAACATTGCATCTGTATCTAGGGAAGCTGAAAACCATATTCCTTTACCATTTTGAGGTGAATTTAATCTTCTTCTGCTTGTGGCTCCTCTTGAGTTTATTTGTTGAGTTTTCCTTTTTGCAAACTACGGTTTTCTTCTTTTGCTCTGAAATATTTTTGAAAGCACCACCAGGAGCTGCTGAGCTTAACTGTTGAGAATATTGGGAAAAAATTAAATACATGAAAATTGTGAATTACAATAACTGAGATTGGAAATCTATGCTGTTTTTAAATAGCACTGAATAGCATAGTAGTTAAATAGCACAAGTCTGAATTTTTCCTAGAATTTGTGTGTTAGTTTTTTCTAATCACTTTGTCCATCTACTTTTATAAAATAAAATTAAAACAACTCCCAGCTTTTGTGGATCTTTATAGAATTAGTGTATGGTCTTTTGTATTCTTCCTGTACAAAAAGTAGGCTTAGTCTTACAGAGCTCTTCTAGGATCTGTACAGACAGACTACTGTATCTTCACTTCCCTAAAAAAGAAAAGCTTTCAAGCCTTAAACACTTTACAGGGTATAAATAGAATTTGGTTTTGTTGACATTTCAGTGTATCTAAATGATGAGATTTTTGAGACTCCAAGTACCTCCAAATATAATAAAGTCTTGACATTAATGGTCTACTTAAGTCCTACTCTAATTCAAATATTCATTTAAAATTAAAACGTGAAATACATATACTGTTACAGAAGAATATAAAATGTACTTGTAAGGGGAAAAATCAAGAAATAGAAATACACTCTTCTCACTAGACAACATTGCTACTGAAATTCCTCAGTGAAAGAATCTCAAATATTCAAACAAAAGTATGTATTCTTCATGCATGAATTGAATATGTAACTTATCTTATAAAAACATAAATTGTAAATTCTGTATTGACAAATGTCCATAAATACACTTTTATAATTCTTTTATTTTTCTAATAAGAGTGAAGAGACTTCAACTAATTACACTCTCTTGAGAAAGGAAATAGGATTATTAGTATTACCTCCTGCACCTGTTGTCCTTTAGAAAAGGATGAAACCAATGTTTTTAAACTCCTGTTTGTTAAGCCATATGCCACAGTCTTGCTAATATTTTTCATTTTGAAAATGGAAATATCGTATTTTGACAATGTGCATTCATTGCTAGGTTCCTTGTCACAGGTGTGCATGGAGGAATAAGCAGAGTCTGTATTCCCCTTCTGCTCAGCAGGCAGAGGAAGGCTCCTCGTTAAACAACACCAAGTTAATCGAGGTTCGGAATTTAGCGACGGGAAGGTGCTCTTTGTGCTTGATACTGTGAAACTTCCAGAGTAGCAAGTCAGATTTTTCTGGGGTAGCAGTGGGAATTCTTTACAGTCAGTGGTGAGAGTGTGGCAATAAAAAGTGCCAAAAGAATGGCAAAAATGAGTGGGGTTGTCTGTTGAGCTCTGGGAATGCTGTGTATCCTGCAATGTTGGTGAAATGTCCTTAAGAATGCATGGACTTCCACCTCTGTCTCGTCCCATGACTGTTGATTCTGCACCCTTGCTAGAAGCTGACATCATTATCAGAGAGTCACTTCCTGAGCAAAGATGATGTAAAACCTTCCTCTCTTCTTTGACGTCAGCCGATATGAAAAAACCACTTGTACACATGGAAGTAAAGCATATTTTCTTCTTTGGGGTCTGTGTAGAAGAAGTAGTTATGCTCATCCACTTCTCTTCTGTTTGCCTTTGATAGTTTAACTTATTTTTGTTCTGTTTGGTTTTCCAAGCATCTCTTACAATATCCTGCTGCCTGAAGTTTTGGTTATAAAAGGTGTTATCTGCTGTGGTTAAGATATTTGTTGTTTCTGAATGGACTGGTGAAGAAAATACTGGAGTTTCCCAGTTTGCATGTATGTTCCATTGTAGCTCTCCTTTGCTGGCCTTTTGTCTCACTTCAAATCTTAAAGGCGACCATAACACATTATTAGAATGAGAGCTGAGTGACCCGCTGTTGGAAGAGCAGGGGGGGGTGGTTAAGGTGTCTGTCACAGATGTGCAAGGTGTAATCTGCTGGTCTGATCTGAGTGAAAGCGACACATCCGAGGCTGTCTTGTCCTGCGGCAATTTAAGGATATATTTTGGAGAAAAGGCATTTCGTTGTGGGACTGGAGTTAAACGACCAGATTGCAGATGATGAATTTTAGAAGGCATGTCAACAGCACTGTCATTGAAAAGTGATACTTCTGCTCCTGTTTTCACAAGACATGTTTTGACATCTTTAACTGTTGCATTTTGCAAGGCAAAAGAATTGCAGTCACTTCCCCTCAGTTCAGGCCCTAAAAATCCCACGAACGAAGCTTTTGAGATACCTGCTGAATGGGAAAGAAGGTTCACATCACTATAATTAAGGACTTTTGTGGGGAGTTTGATTGTTTTTATATACTCCACATTCTCAGTACCTCCAGTGGATTCATTATTTCCTGTGCTTAATTTTTGCTCCTCTGCCTTACTGGAGAATTTCACTGGTGCTGTGGAAAGACACTGAGCGGTAGTGCAATAGACTCTCTCCGCTTCATTTACTGCATTGTTTTCACTACTGGGACTAGGACAGGACGTTGAAATAATGTTTTGAGTCTTCTCCACTTCCAGTTTCAGCTTTTTTCTTTCTGATGGTAGATTCCGGGATTTCCCTGCAGCTCCTCTGTTGTTGGTGCAATGGACCCACGGGGGCATCAGGGCATGCGGGCCAGTTTCCTTATTCTTGCTACAGTTTCCATCATTGTTTGAAGTGCTTCTGCACTCTGATTCAAATGTACTGGATTCTTTCCCAGGGCTTGGTTTTTCCCATTTGCCACTCTCTACTGGCAAGCAGTCATCACTCCTTCTGTTAGTGTTCAGCTGACACTGAGGATTTTGAAGCCTGAGCTCACAACTGCTTGGAGCTCGTAACGTGCTGTTGCCAGCTGTGTGTGTATCTGTGTCACTGCCACTGAGGTCTTGGGAAGTTTTGCTCATTACAGTATGTGCCCTAGTGTTTATGGAATGTGATGTCTCCATCACACAGGTTAAACTGCCTGCAGTTTCCTCGGAGGACGCATTCTGTAGAATATGACTACCATTAGTACAGGTTTCTGATTTACCAGTGTTTGAACCTGTTGCCACAAGGGAGGAAAGACTGTCACTTACAGAGCTCCTGCCACCTCTTTCCTCAGTAATTTCAGTACTGCTGAGTGATTCCTTTGAATCAGGAGTGAAGCTACTAGTATCTGCAATCTTATTCCCCCTTTGTTTAATTTTCTTGGCATTTTGACTGCTCTTCATTTTTTGGTAGATTTTCTTAAATGTTTCATCTCCGTACATTTGCCATTTTTCTTGAGAGAACATCTTTAACTTCCTTTGATTGTGTTTCTTGTTCTTAGCACTGATTACTTCTCCAGCCCCAAGCTTTTTACTCCTTTGCAACTCCTCCAATGGAGGAGGATGATCAACCACGTTACTTAGTGGCAAATCATCCACTGCTGCTTGTCTGACTAGAGCCCGGGGATGGCTGTTAGGAAAATCCACTGAATTTGCAGCGAGATTGTTGCTAGGCAGCAAACTAGCAGTGCCTGCATTTGCAGACTGCTTAGTAAGAGAAAGTGGTTTTGAGCAACCTGCTTTGTCATGTGCCATTCTTGTGCCTTCCACAAACGGCAGAGAGTTGCTTCGTGTAACCGGCACCGTATCTATCGTTGTGGAGAACTGGGTGGGGACTGAATGAAAAAACATGGGCTTGCATTTTTCTAGGGGTGCAAAGGTAGATTTTGCTGAACAAAGGGAAAGGTTCTTTTTCCTATTTACATCACAAGTTCTGATGTCAAAATGGAAGGAGTCTTTGTATGTATAAGGCATTGGCAGATCAATGCTTCCCTGTTTAGAAAGGACAGTTTTTCTGGGCCTAACGTTGTCTAACTGGGTATCATCCACCACACTTTTGTTATGAGAAATAAGTTTTGCAATGTGTTCTTCCAGCTTCTTTTTCTCTAGCATCAAGGCTGTAGCTTTCTCTGCTGCATCTAGCTTTGCATTGCTTCCGGAGGTACACCTTAAGCTGCTGAAGGCAGTTTCATTTTCCAGTTCTGTGCTGTACTCATAGAGACTGTGCAACGGGCTGGATGATGCCATCTGTTGTTCTGTACTGTCAGAGCGTGACAGATACCCTGAGTCAGTGCTCTCACACTTCTTTAGCTTGCAGTCAAATGGCTTGTAATCCCACTGCTTTTCCGAAGAGGTTGCTTGCTGCCTTTGCAACTGAATATGCTTATTGGCAGTTTGCGTTCTTTGCTCCTGTATCTTTTTTCTCTGGCACTGCCCGTTTGGCGAAGCTCCTGGAGATGATAAACTTCGAGGTTCTCTTTCAGGAACCCCCTGATTAGCCTTTGGAGTAAAGGACTGGTTTGTTGATTCTTGATTTTCTGAAGCAAGTGATGAATTGCTTGTTGCCGGCAGTTTCTTAGTGTCCGTGACTGTACTGGCCTCTGAACTCATTTGTTTCCTCTGCATCTCCTTGTCTTCACAGGTGCTGCTAAGTAGTTTGCTGCCTTGATGTGAGGTGATGCTCTCTGTTGATTTCTCATTTTGCTCCAATAGGCCGCTGTTGTCAGAGTCTGAGGGCAGCCTGGTGTTGTTGACATGCGTTTGAGTTCTTCTGTGTTTATATAAATTGCTTTGAGTTTTAAATGCAATACCGCAAGTGGTGCATGGAAAGGGCCTCTCTCCTGTGTGAGAGCGAATATGTTTCTCAAGGACACTTGGCTTCAAACAATCTCGTCCACAGTGTTTGCAAATATATTTCCCAGCTTTTTTTGATTTTCCTGGGCTTCCAATAGGCGCATTTACACAAGAATTCGGTGATGATAAAACTGGTAAAGCGCTCACTATGTTCAATGTTAGAGTTTGACCAAGTTGTTTCTGAAAAACTGACTGAGGCTGATCCGTGCCTTCTGAAGGAACAAGTGGATTCAGGATTACAGGTAAGTTACTGCTGTCTAGATTTACACAGTTCCTGCCAGTCACTAGCTGACTGTTTGGCTGAAAGCATCCCGCCTGGATGGGCGGATACAGTGGTATGGTGAGGGCTTTTAGGTACACGGGTTGGGGCAGCGCTTGTTCCTGTTGAGGAATCGAACTGCCTTGGCCAAGATCTGAAGAACCCTGCGCAGGCTGAAGAGAAGAGGTTGAAACTGGTCGATCTGCTAGTGCAACTGTAAAACCAGGCTGCTTCTGTGCCTCCATTTCAGAGGTTATCTGCCATATGTTCAGGTATCTGTAAGGGAGGGGAAACAAAACAAGTAGGAGTCTTCAGATAGCAAAATGAAATAAACACTTTCAACTGCTGGACTGGAAAAGTTAGCAATTGAGAATATCACAAATCTTATATACGGGCATTATACAGACAATAATTACTTCATTTTCCAATTAAATTTATTTATCTTTCATTTCTTAGCTAGGAATTAAAGTTTGGTACTGTGTAAAAAACATTGAACATTGCACTTAAAACCTACAATAAGTACCCAAAGTATCAGAAATAGATCTGAGTACCAGATTTGCAAATGGAGGGCTCTCAGCACCTCAGAAATAATACAATTTTAATTTTCTGGAACCAATTTCCCATTACAAGTTTGTACCATGTTTTTTAATTTAAAAATTTACATTAATAAATGTTAAAATAGAAACACAGAACAATTAAGGTTAGAAGGGAACTCAGGAGGTCTCTAGTCCAAACACCTGGTCAAAGCAGAGTTGGCACTGAGGTGAGGTTGCTCAGAGTGTTATCCAGTGTGGTTTTGAAAACCTCCAAGGATAAAAACTGCACAGCTTCTTCAGGCAACCTATTCCAAGCACAGGACATGTAACATGGCTGCATATTATCAGTGTTTAACCCAATTTAAGTGAGCTAAGGCTAAACACATTGCAGCAAGTGATGCAAAATCAAAATGTGAACAAAATTAAACTGATGTCCTGTTTTAAAAGTGAGATCTACATAAATATGTACAAAGTAGAAAAGATGGTATCATAGTAAAATAGTGAGATAAATTAAAGCTGTCTTTTGTGTAGGCTAAATTAATTTTGTCTAATTAAAGGTGATACTATGGTATACTGCTTATTTTTGGATTTTTTCAGTGCCAGATGAAAACATTTTGTAGACACAGTTTTTGGAAAAAGTGAACCTATTCTTATGAAATCTGTCCAAATATATTCAGGGTTGGTGCTGGTCCAGACTACTTATTTTAGAAAAATTTTTTCTTGTCTTTTTTCTTTATTAGAAACAGACTAGGAGAAGACTATTGTTGTAGCATTGAAATATCAAAATAAGCTAGCTGAAAATTATCTTTGGAAGAGCTGATAGAAGCATCAGCATAACCTCTTGTAATTACAGTTTGGGTGAAAATTAGAAGGTGAACTACGAATGTTTATTCAAATTCTTATTCAGCTATACTCACAGCTCTGTATCCATTGGCTGTTAGGAATAATAGGCTGTTCTTGTGCAAACAGTCATAAAAACCCCATTTGAAATAACATAATCAGTGGATAAATGTGAAATCTGCCATTTGTTGCCTTACTGCATAATCTGTGGTGGCGTTTCTGTACCTTCCTTGGATCGTTTTAATAGGAAATCATTACTGCGAAACAGTAAAAAAAATTACTCGAAAATGTTGTCTGAAATTTGGACTGGTTCCGTATGACACACACACACTATGTTACTGTTATTCAAAGCAAAGTCTCTATTGCATGTAGTTACTGAGAATTTTGCAAATAATTCACCTGAAGGAGAAATGGCAAACTCAGTGTAATTGGTTTTGGGTGTTCCTCGGTTACCGTTATCATAGAATCATACAATCACAGAATCGTTTAGGTTGGAAAAGACCTTTAAGATCATCAAGTCCAACCGTTAACTGAGCACTGCCAAGTCCACCACTAAACTATGTCTGCACCTCTAGGGATGGTGACTCAACTACTTCCCTGGACAGCCTGTTCCAATGCTTGACAATCCTTTCGGTGAAGAAATTTTTCCTAACATCCAATCTGACCTCCCGTGGTGCAACTTGAGGCCATTTCCTCTTCTCCTATCACTTGTTACTTGGGAGAAGAGACTGACCCCCACCTCGCTGCATCCTCCTTTCAGGCAGTTGTAGAGAGCGATAAGGTCTCCCCTCAGCCTCCTTCTCTCCAGGCTAAACAACCCCAGTTCCCTCAGCCACTCCTCATAAGATATCAGTGCCTGATGGAAGTTTTTGTCTTCACCTAAAGATTTTTTTGTCTACACCTAAAGTGTAATAAAAATCCCAGAAAACAACCTGTAAAATTAACTGATCTGCGCACAGCAACATGTTAGATTTTGCCTGTTCTTTCTCATAAATTTTATAAATCAAACTCAGTTATCAAGCATGGACTTCTCTTGTCCACTTCAGAGACTTCTACATGGAAGAATCACTTAAGTGACTTTGTAATCTAGGTATTGACTGTAGTGATGAAAGAATGTTACAAGAATATGGCTTGTTAAAGGAATTAAGTTATTATCCATGTTCTACAGTGTGGTTAACACTGCAGGATAAACGTGGATTTCTCTAATTTGCAAAGTGAGGTTACAGATATTTCAGGTCCATTTAAGGTGGTTTTTAAGCTATACCCTTTTACTTATAGCAATTTAAACGCAGCATACAATAAAAACAGCAGCAAGTGATAAGGCATGAGCCAATGATACTCATAAACTAAGCATGCAGTAGCTTTTCCAAAGATGTGAAAACAAAGAAAAGTTAAGGGGAAAAAAATAGGCTGCAGAGACGAGACTCAAAGAAAAAAAGTGAAGTCTGACTACCATGTAGCTGAAACATCTAACCACATCAGATGAAACAAGTCATAACTGTGCTCCCCTCCTTCTCCTGGAGAGAAGTGTGGAAATGAGGAATTTACATTTCCACCCCGATAAGCCGGCTCATGTCACAAACTATGTTCTCTCTTTGAATATCCTCATGCACATGCATAGTTGATGGTCTTCCAAGGCCAGCCTGTAACTTAGTAGGACTTGCGGTGGACAGATGTTTGTGACAGGATATCAGTCCTGTAGTTCCAAAGTACCAGACTCTGTCTGAGTTCATTTACTCTGTTAAGTTTCTGGGACCCAAAATACAGCCTAATTCTGAGAATCATTTCAGTACTCTGTAATGTTCTACAAAGAAAACACCTAACTGAAAATTTAAAGGAAAGTTTTAACTGCTGCTAATTAAACTAAATTATGATACACAATCTCCTTACTATCAAGAGTATAATAATATATTTCTACCAGCTTTGGTAGTTTGATGCTTTTCACAGCAAACAAAAGATACCTTCTTCCTAAGTGAAACTTCTGTGACTTGTATTCTACTGTGGCGAATACAATCATACTTCTCACATCTGTCATTTATGTAAAAAAAAAAGCCACTATGTTTCTTTGTACACAGACAAAAATAGCTTATCTCAAACTAACTCTACCCCAAGGCTAATTCTGGGTAGTCCTTGCCTAAAGCAGAAAAACTTCCCCTAGGCTCTGTTCTGACAATCTACCTGATGTTCTGAGCTCAATTTGTAACTTGCGGCATCGAACTACTAGTGTAAAAACTGATCCTAATTAGATAAGGAAAAATTTCCAATAAAGAAAACTAAAAGCAGGATTTGGCCAGTCCAAAATTTTCTAAATGAGCTTCTTAAGCTATCATAACTGGTCAATAAACTCCATTTAAAGACAAGTATTTTGTCCCTAGTTTGAATTATACCTTCAGGTACACACCATAGGTAGCTCTGTGGAACAATGAAAAGTCAAAAAGAGGAGCAGTTTCAGGCGACAAATGAGCATAGCAGAAACTGCCTTATTCTGTATATAAGTATAAAGTATTTTAATAAGGGGGGGTGATATAAAGAACTCATTTTAAATCCAATATATTCCTCTTTTCTATATAGTTTTTTCCTGAATTACAAATATATCTTCTAAAACTTGCTTCATTTTATCAGCACTGTTATAATAATATTAGATTATACAACCAAAATATTTTTGTCTTCTGCATGGCACACATAAATGCACTGCCAGCTGTCCATCATTATTAATAAAATCATTAAGTAAACATGTAACTACTTATTTCCTGCACTTACATATAATTTTTTTGACATGCCATTGAGAGGAGCATCATAGTCTTTAAGCAGATGCAGTGCTCAATCCCTTGGTTTGGTCTACAGGTATAATCTGTAGACATGACAGAGTTAGTTTATTTTTGTAACCACACAGAAACAGCTTTTCAACATTCTGAACATACATAACATACTATATTATACTAGAAGTCTTTTCCTTTTTTTTAAAAGCTTTTGGTGATCCCTACCTTAAATATAATACCAGAGAGCATACAGAAGTGGAATCCTCTTTAGTCTGTAAGTAATTTTAGCTTACATACCTTTTATTGAGCCAGGCATTTCAGCAAAAGAAGTCTCATTTCTGTCAATACTTGACGCAAGCAGAGAGAAACGAGGACAAAGACTTGAAACAGATTAGAAGTAGGAAGTTGGGTTTTTTCTTTTTTTTTTACGTTGGTGTCACAGTAACAACCTTCAGAAAACAGGAAGAGATGAAACAGAAAATGAAGTAGCATTTGAGTCTCTTCATATCCTTTATCATTATTCATGTAGGAACCTGTAAACAGAATCAGCTGTCTTCTAAATGTAGGCATTTTGTACACTGCAGTCAATTGTTTCATTCAGTGAAATACACTGACACAATGGTAGAATTTCTTCTTTATACCCCTAAAGGTGATTTGCTTATAACTTTACAGTAAAGATCTCTCTTAAAATGTGTTGGAAAAGAAAACAATGGTGGAGAGAAGGCTCTTGCTACATATAAAATGCTAAACTTATCCAGCATGTGTATTATCCACCAGCTGCTTCTAATGGTGCCCTGCGGTGGGGTAGAAAGCAGTAAGCAGGAGGGAAAATACTTCAAGAATGTTAAAAGTGTTTAGGTCATGCTCAACAAGCCTCTCTAAAATTTATGA